ACAGCCCCCCATCGCAGCTCCGGCTCCCTGCTCGCAGCCCACTCACAGCACGGGCACAGCCAGCGTCTCCTCCTGGTGCAGCCGCTCCGTCTGCCGCAGTTTAAGGATCTCGCTGTAGTTCAGCGCATTCACTCTGGTCTTGAATAGCTCTAGGGAGGTGGGCTTGAGGGACAAGGTCCTGGTGATCTGCTCCCGCACCACCTGCAGTACCTGTGGGGCCCAGGACATCACCCCCAGTCTGGTGACCGCTCCCCAGAGCCCTGGAATTTGGCCCCAGCTCCCATCTGGGGCCCCAGCGTCCCCTCGCACCTTATCAAAGTCCTCCTGGGTAGCGCGCATCTCCTTCCAGGTCTTATTCACCAGCTGGATGCAGATGCAGAAGAGCTCTTCAAAGAAATGATCCTGCCCGAAGAACATAGGGTAAAAGGCCTGAGCCGTCTCCGAGCCTGTGGTGAGAAGGACAGATGATGCCAGACTCCCCAGTTTTCCCAGAGCATTTCAGCATCCAGGAGAACCTGGATATTTCCCAGCCCTACCTCCTCCCCTTCCCCTGCTGTCGGCCACGCCAGAGCCCGGTGGCCCCGAGCATGCAGCCCCCTACCCTGGCAGGCAGCAGGGCAGGGAGAAGGACAAGCTGGGGCACACACATACACGGCTCTCCAACGTGCAGGATCTCGCAGAGGATCAGGGTGAGCTGGATGCTGCTTCGAGCGAAGGGGCATTCATGTTTGTCTTCCCGGCTGCTGTTCTCGAGGACAAACTGGAGGAGAGGGTCGTTGCCTCACGTTACACGGGGAACGGACTCGGAGGGTGAGCTGTTCCCCTAAGTTGAGCCGTCCCTAACGGGAGTCATTCACTCTCCCCAAAAGCCAGCCCCAGCCTCCTCTTTCCCCTGCCACAGCGCGGGAGCTGATCACGGGCACAGCAGGTCGGAGCGTGGCTAATGCTCTGCAGCCACTGGCTGGTTTTGCCCAAATCGCCCCGGTTCGCTCAGATGTGAACAAGGTCTGGAAACCAAGCTGTGGGGAAAACACTAAAAATTACAGGGACCCTTCAGTGCCACCGGCCCTCAGATGGCTGCTTCTACCCACAGGAAGGACTTGGCTCTGTCTGAAACAGGGCAACGGTAGGACACCTGCCTGAAAGGCACATCCTTGCCTGGGTTTGGCCAAGGATGGGTCACGAGGAAAGGAAAAGGTGGGGGAGATCCACCAGCACCTCTCCACCACGGAGTTCTCCAGGAGAGAGCACGCACCCTGCTGTAGGCGTTGGGGGTATGTCTGGAAAAATACACCATGTTGTCGAGGGCAAGGAGTCCCGGTGGGGCACGGCGGAGGTCCTCTGCTGGGTTGCTGTTGTTCTAGGAGGACAAAGAAGGATGTGATTTAGCAGCTGCTGCTTTCTTCTCCGAGCAGCAGTGTCCTCCCGATGCAGCCACAGGGTTTGCCTTTGAGTCCTGGCAGCCCCGCACTTGCTGTTTAGGAGTACCGAGGGAGCAGAAGGGAGGTACTGCCTGCTGGCCTGTCAGCATCGACGGGGACACCAGGCTTAGAGGAGCCATCAGAAGGTGGGGCCAAGGCCGGGTAGCAGAGCCAGCGTGGGGCTGGCGAGGGGACGCGGGGTGGGGACGCACCACGAAGCCCAGCTTGCGGAACTCCTTGGCACACAGGGATCGCCGGCGCTCGGTGCTGAAGTTGCTGGCAGGCGCCTCGCTCTCCGACTCAAAGGCGGTTTGGCGCAGCGACTGGAGGAGCTCCCGCTGTTCCTGGAGGGAGAGCGGAGAGGAGGGGATGCCGGTGAGCCCCATGCAAGCAGGTGCTCCCAGGACAACTGACGATGAAACCAAATGTGCTGGGTTCACCCGAAGGTGAAGTTTCACCCGCTTCTATTTCTACAGAAGAAGAGACCAGGACCAGACTGCTTGCGGACCTGTGAGTAGGGATCCATGGAGGTCCTCATGCGACGCTCGCACAGGTTGAGGCTGACGGACTGCAGCACGTACAGGTAATGGGCCATCTCGTCCCCCAGCGGCTCAGAGCTGTGGATGATGTTCTACAGGAGACCGTGAGTGAGAAGGTTCCCCCAGGCTGCTGCTTCCCAGTTCCTCCAAGCCCAGGGCCCAACAGCCAAAGCCCGGCAGCTCCTGCCGCCCGAAGGGGCATTGGGAAGTGGGCAGCTCCCCTCGGGGTTGGGTGAGAACTGGCTGTACTGAACAGCAGGCAGCTGGGGGTGCAACCCCAGGCATGTGGGTGCCAGCAGAGCAGAAACCACAGGAGATATCAAGGAAAGGGTGCAGAGCACCCAGGCAACCCAGCCAGGAACGGTCACCAGAGGCAGGGGCTGAGGAGACAGACAGGGGCCGAGGAGACAGGACAGAACAGGTCCTTGACAAACCCAGCTCCTCACCTTGTGGATAAACTGCCTGATGTTCTTCTCCCTCAGGTAGTCCATCATATCCTAGGAAGGGGAGAGGCTGCAAGACATTCCCCGGCTCCGCACACCACCATTTCCCAAAAAAGACGGTATTCCCTCCGCAGACCCATTCCCCGCTATGCCTGGCTTTGGACCACGGGCAGGGTGGGGACAGAAAGGAACCAGCAGTCTCAGGAGTGATGCTGGTGAGCTGGAGACCTGCCCCCAGCTTCCACTGCCCTGGCAGCCAGGACTAGCCCACCTCAGTGGGGCTCAAACAGATCCAGGCCAGGTTGTGTCAGTCAAGGAGAAGAGGAAGAGTGAGGTCGCTGACTTGAAATGTCTCCAGGCACCTCTCGGAGCCCCACCATCCCAAAAAACACAAATGCTACAGCGGAGGACCCAGCTGTCCAAGACCCCATGATGGGGGCCCAGCCATGATGGCCCTGATGTGCCAGATGCTGGGTCTGAGCCATCACGGTCACTGTGCCACCACCAGCCGTGATACTTCTCCCACCCTTTGAGATCTTGCACCGTGCCCCCCCCCAAAAAACTACTCCAAGGGGTGCAAGACAGCAGAGGCTGCTTGGCAGAGCACCTCTGTGACAGGGGCATTGTGGTGCTCGGACCTGCAGTGCCCACCGCCCTGCCATCACCCCGTCCTGCCTACAGACCAGCCCCTTACCCGCCGCTCAGCGTCAGTCGCAGCCAGCAGTAACGCAATGAGCAGGGCCATCGCCTTCAGCTGCAGCTGGGCATTTGTCCTGCAGAAGGAGGATGAGGATGGGGAGAGTCGCCAGCTCTGAGGATGGTCTTGCCCTCCCCAAGGAAAGGTCCTCTCCTCGCTTCACTGCTGGACCCCACTGCACGGAGCTGGGGGACCCAGAGAGGCCAGAGCCATGAGTGAGCAGCTGCTGACAGTGGGACCAGGGGTGAGATGGTCCCCACAGCTGTGACCACAGAGCACCCGTGGATGGATCAGATCTTGCTCTGCACACACTCGTGGGTGCAGCATTTTGGAGCTGCAGGAAAACCCAGGGTGAGCAGCAGACTCTGGCAGGAGGCCTGGGCATGAGCCTCTCCATTTTCTAGAAAGAAAAACCTCCAAACTGAAGAGATGCAGAAGTATGAGGAAGATGAGGGAACAAAGAGCCTGCCAAAGATGAGGGATTCAACAAGCACTGCCACCCCCAAGTTGCAAGGACCATACTACTGCTCCCAAGTACGCCGGGGAAAGGGAAGGAAGTGCCAATGAAGAAATTCGAAAGAAACAGGCCACAAATGAACCCATGAAGGAATCTGACCTGGAAACAAGATGGTTTCCAGGACAGCCCATCCATCCCCCAGCAGCAGGGATGGGACAGGACAGGCTGCCCACCCACAAGTTGTTTAGGAAGGGACAATACAACGTTGTGCCAGGGATAAATTGGCAAGACCCAGAGAAATCCCTTCCATCACCTCATCCCCACTGGCTTTGGGATGGGGGCAAATGGTGCTCTGGCCTCTCCACTTACACCTGCAGGTGGGTGAGAAGACGATCCAGTGTCACTTCTTTTTTGACCAGCTCAAAGAGGAGGCGACTGGTAGGTACCATGTTCTCCAAGATAGACAAAGAGAGCTGCTGGACAGATGTGTCCACCACGTTCATATTGACGTAACTCACTATCTATGAGACACAAAACCAACCGTCGACGGCAGGCTGAGCCTGAGTGACGAGGGCAGCAAGGAATCCCAAGGGCACAGACTGCGGAGCCTGCTGAAGACGCTTACCTTCTTGATGAAGGCTGCGCTCAGAGTCTCCCAGGAAACAAAATCGTGCTCCATCAGCTCCATGAAGGCCTTCAAGGTGTGAGCTAGTATGTGCCCTGTGCTGGAGGGACAGATGAGCAACACAGTGAGGATGGGTCCAGACACTCCCCATCACCACTGTAAGACAGGAGTTGGTTGCATGGTGGTGGGTACGTTAGAAATGGCTAGAGAAGCAGTGAGCAGGAGGAGAAAGGAAAGACTGTTGAGCAAGAAATCGGGCTCCTGCTTAGTCATCCCAGGAAGTAAAGGCAGGGGAAGTTCAACAGTTTCTGGAAAGCCACATTACCATGGTACAAAGATCACTGCAGACAAGCCCTCGGGAAAGCCAAGCCACCCCAAATCCCTCCCCCTACTCCCAAGAAACACGCACTGCACTGCCTGGTTTTAGGCTCCACATCCTCTGTGAGGTAGAAGCTCAGAGGAGACGCACCGTACGCCCTGAACGAGTCAGGTATTCACTAGTATTTGGCAACAAGGATTTCCTTGAGCTGAGAGATCCTTAGATCTCTCGCAGCTAAAACCTCAGGGCAGAGGGATTGTTTGGGGTTGCAGGAATGAGCAGCAGCAAAGGGTAGGATCATCAGAGGAGATTTCCTGGCAGCAAAACCCATGGGGCTGCGGATGACCCAGCCGGCGAAGGAACAGGAGGTTCAAGTCTGGGCACATTCACGAGGTGTCAGGGCCACAGACCAGGGGACCCTTCCCCCGGCTGCCAGCGTGTGGGGTCACAGGCACGTACCTGCAGGTAAGGAGCCTGCAGAGCCGAGTGCCCGGCCACCAGCGCTGCCCTTCGTGCTGCAGCATAGGGATCAACGAGCCAGGAACACCAATGGAGTCCACTCCAGCACCCAGCTTGGAGCTCATGCAGCATTAGCAAGGGAGAAGAAAAGTCCAGAACCGCAAGGAAAGTCCCTTCCTGATACTCACTCATTCCCTTCTTCCACAATATGGAAGATTTGTTTCAAGCCATTCCTGTTGATGAACTCTTGAGCAAAGGTAACATCCTGGGAGAGGTTTGCAAGCTTCTTCAGCGAGTCAGTCTTCAAATCCGAGTTGTTGCTCTGGATCCCACTGTACAACCTCTCTGCTTCTTGGTCCTACCAGGAAGGAGAGAATCAAGCCAAAGGGGCTCACCGAAAGACAGCGAGAAGCTTGGAGGTAGAGGCTGGAAGAGCTTAGGCAGAAGGAGGGTCAGGGTAGAGCAGCCCTGGTGAGGAGCTGGACCGAGAGACAGAGCTACCAGAGCAGAGACCAGGAGGAGCTGAGGAAGGAGGTCAAACTGGTGCAACGCTAAGAACGCTTCACGAGTGGGCCCAAAGCATTTCAAGATGATTTAGTTTCTCTTCAAACTCCCCCAAGCTCTGCTGAGGGAGAATGAAGGTTGAGACAGGTCTGTGGGGTCAGAGGCACCGAGAGGAGCCGTCACGA